GACACTCTCAGCCTCAGCTCCAATGAATGCCCGTACCAAATATTCTCCCATTATTATCGATACAATGGCGGTCGACCCCGGCTTTAGAACGATGACCGCACACCATGTGAACAAGAACCCAAAAATCTCCCCAAAAATCTTGGAAAGATATATTTGTGCGCCGCCATTTAATGGTATTGCTCCTCCCAGCTCCGCGTAACTTGACGCGCCAGTCCATGCTAATATTCCTGCTATTGCCCATACAATTAATGATGCGCCTGGTGATCCCGCATTTGCATTGACCTGACTCGGCGAGGAGAAAATCCCGGACCCTATTATCAAGCCAACTATCAATGACAACCCGTTCAGATATGTCAAAGTCTTATGTTTTTCCAACGATCCTCCTCCTAAGGCAGTTTGGCCATTTGTCGTAGAAATAGGGGCTCCGATCGGCGCATAACCTCCTGCGGTAGAAGACAGAGGGTAAAGGTTGGAGGAAAAGTCGAAGGCCGAAGAGACAGAGTATGTTCTGCCATGTCCTCTTCCAGGCCGACCATTCGCGGCGGGATTTCGGTCATCTAAAGGGTCATCTTCTTCGAGTGAAAGCTTCCGTGATGAGGATATACCAGCATCTGATGATAGTGAATCTGTTGATGATCTCGCGCCTGGGGAACTCGATGCTAAACTAGCCAATTCTAAAGAATCGCGCGCGTGAGGCTGTAAACTTTGATAGGTTGGTGACATTATAATTGTTCGTGGAAGTCGTTCACAGCCAGCATCGCATGCTCTGAAGCTTCAAGAGGGGGCGATCAACGGCAGTCTGTTTGTTGGTTCTCGTTTATGGCAATGCTTGAATCATAACGGTCGTGCAACTTTACAATCGCAATGAACTCGTATCGGAAGGATAGTAAGGAAAGGAAGTGAATTGAATAAAGCTTTATAAATATCAATCAATATTTACTTGAATTGAAGAAGGATTCCAAAGAACAGAGCGCGTAGAATCTCAAGTGCAATGTGTACCGGTTGTTTCCAATGAGACAGAGAGATGCTCGTAGACAATGGATGTTTTATTTTTGAGGTACCAAAGTAGATCGATCATCTACGTTATTGTCTTTGTGATCCATTAAGGGATTTGAGGATCTTGGCGGTATTCTACTTGCCTGTGCTTTCCTTTTGTTTTGGGTTCTTGGTGCTTTGATACTTTGATACTTCACTAGATTCACGACTCACTCACTAATAATAATATCTAGCATTTACTCCTGAGTTCTGAGTTCTGAGTCCTGAGTCCAGAGAAGGCTGAGATTAGATAAGAATGAGTCCGTGCTCAATTTTTTTATATTTACTGGAATAAAAATATATCATGAAGCAAGCTACCTGGGTTACTCATAGCTACCCCTCACAAATACAACAACAATCTACTTCAAAAAGAAGTCAACCCGCGAGATAGACATCTGCGAATGCAAAACCAAGAGTGGCAGACTATATCTTGAGTAGTTGGTCCCTGGCATGACATGATGCCTTGAAAATCATGCAGTCCTCCATTCGCAGATGCGCATTATCTCGAACGAGTTTAATTCGACCTTCATCTTATTGTCGTCGCAATTACCCCGCTACCGCTTTGAAAAACATCAAGCCGATCGTGTTTACTCGATACGCTTCTACTTCTACTAATAACCCTTTTCCAAGCTTAGATCTGCCATCCTTGGATCAGAAATGGCGTGCGAAGTGGACGACGACGGAAAAGCCGAAATCGGCAAAGGATAATGAACGAGATGATAGCCAGAAAATGTACATATTGCCTATGTTTCCATATCCATCGGGTGATCTTCATCTGGGTCACTTTCGAGCATACACGATTTCCGATGTCCTGGCACGATTCCATACAATGAGAGGCTACAATGTTGTCCACCCGATTGGTTGGGATGCGTTTGGCTTGCCTGCTGAAAATGCAGCGATTGAACGTGGGATAGACCCCGCAGTCTGGACAAAACAAAATATACAAAAGATGAAGAGTCAGCTAATCACTTGGAATGGACGTTGGGATTGGGATAGGGCATGTCTACAAACGTAATCACCGATTTGGTAGCTAATATGAACTAGGAAATTACAACTTGCGATCCCAATTTTTACAAACATACTCAGGAAATATTTCTTCTTCTTCATGAGCGTGGTTTGGCATATCAAGCAGAATCTTTAGTGAATTATGATCCTGTGGACAAAACCGTTCTTGCAAATGAACAGGTCGATGCAAATGGTAATTCATGGCGATCGGGAGCCAAGGTAGAGAAGAGACTACTAAAACAATGGTTTCTGAAAATATCTGAATTTCGAGAGCAATTGCTTCAAGACATCGACCACTTGGCTAAGGGAGGTATGTGGCCGGAAAGAGTTCTTGCCATGCAAAAGAATTGGCTGGGGAAATCAAAAGGTGCTCGAATTCAATTTTCCATATCAGCAGGTGAAAATAGTTCTCAGCAGTCTGTCGAAGTCTTCACCACCCGACCGGATACTATCTATGGAGTTCAGTACATTGCCCTTGCAGCAACACATCCTATTGTTCAAGGTCTTGCAAAAAAAGATACAAAATTGCAACAGTTTTTGGACAGTTTGTCAGATTTACCACCTGACTCAAAGGTTGGCTATCTTCTTCCCACTGTTAGTGCCGTGCATCCGCTCGCATCCCGAAAATCTACACCAGAGGCCTCTAAAGCACCTTTGCCCGTTTATGTTGCACCATATGTATTAGGTGATTATGGTGATGGAGCAGTTATGGGAGTGCCAGCGCATGATGCTCGAGATCATGCATTTTGGAAGCACAATAACCATGACACTCCACCGAGACATGTAATTGGTCCTGTTGATAGTGCTTCGAAAGCTGTCCCTGCAGACCAACCTTTTGTTCATCCTGGTCATCTTACATCAGAAAATCCACAATCGTTCGTTGGACAAACAACGGCTAAAGCAAAGCAAGGCATAATGAGGCTACTTCAAAATGAAGGTCTCGGTTCAGCTGCTGAGACATGGCGTCTCAGAGATTGGCTTGTCAGTCGACAGAGATATTGGGGTACCCCTATTCCCATAATTCATTGTGCTAGTTGTGGTCCAGTACCTGTTCCTAAAGATCAGCTTCCAGTCAAGCTGCCTTCAGTTGAAGGCCATTGGTTGAAAGGTAAAGCTGGAAATCCCCTTGATGGTGCCCACGACTGGGTCAATGTCCCATGTCCCAAGTGTGGCAGCGACGCTAAAAGAGATACTGATACCATGGATACCTTTGTCGATTCTAGCTGGTATTTTATGAGATTCGCTGATCCCAAGAATTCAACCACACCATTCTCTCCGGAAGCAGCTAATGCAATCCTCCCCGTTGATGTATATATCGGAGGAGTTGAACACGCCATTTTGCATTTATTATATGCTCGTTTCATATCGAAGTTCCTTTCCACAACTCCTCTCTGGCCTGAAGGGTCGGCCAAGAATGTTCTTGGGGAACCCTTCAAGAAGCTTCTCAGCCAGGGTATGGTGCATGGAAAGACTTATTTGGATCCTTCCAATGGTAGATTTTTGAAACCCGAGGAAGTGGATCTCACCACACCATCGAAGCCCATCCTTATTGCATCAGGAGAACTCGCCAAAATTAGTTATGAGAAGATGTCAAAATCTAAATATAATGGCGTCGACCCAGCACAGTGCATGACGAAATATGGTGCCGATGCAACCAGAGCCCACATGCTTTTTCAAGCACCAGTCACCGAGGTCCTTGAATGGGATGAGCAGAAAATATCTGGTATCACTCGTTGGCTGAAACGTCTCCATGATTATATATGCACAAGTACAGGGGAATCTCAGAAAATCAAAGACCACACGTTATCTCCCAAAGATTATCTCCTTTCTGCGGTAGATGTTTTAGAGAAAAACAAAAGGAATAATTTGGAGAAGCAAGATTCGAATGCAGAGGCTGCCGTTTTGGACTCAATTCACGCGGACATCAAACTTTGGCGAGCAGTACAACAAAGTATCACAAATATAACAGAAGCTTATAGTGAAACGCATTCTCTTAATACCATTGTCTCGGATCTGATGAGTCTTACCAATCTTATCATCGAAACCACAGAAGCAAACAAAGTCAGCCGCGAAACATCACATACAAACGTTATCGCTGGTCTTCAAAACGAAAACTGGGTAGAAGAGCATAGTGGTTTAATCGAAATTGCAGCTACGAGAATCTTGCTTCAATTGATGGCACCTATTACTCCAGCTTTCGCGGAAGAATGTTGGTCGATTTCTCACGGTGGTGTTGAAACACTTTCAATCTTCGAAACGAAGTTCCCAGAGCCAGATGGATCAATAAACTGGTTACTTCCCGAAACTCAAAAATGCGCAGTACAAGTTAATGGGAAATTGAGATTCGCAATCGATATACCGATTCCGGAAGAGGGAATGGATAAAGTGGAGTTGCAGAGATGGGTTGTGGATAAGGTTTTGCAGAGTGAAGAGGGAATGAGGAGGTTTGGAGAAGAGGAGGGACAAGTCGATGTGGCGCGCAGGAGTAAGAGGGTGGTCGTTGTAGGGAGGGGAAAGACGGTTAATTTTGTGGTTTAGGGGTTGGATGGTTGATGGTTGGAAATACCCCGCTCTGATTTGTTGAATGTACAATATGTATACGACCTGTGATCTGTAAATTTGAGCGAAGGGGCGAATGAATATATAAAATATGCTCAAATACCAATGATTGATCATGATACCTTCACATCTCTCTACGAGCCAGCTTACGAACCAATCATTCAGAACATAAAAATTGAAAATCTAATCTTGGATCTCCGGCCTCAGTATAAAATTTGGAGCGGTCGAGAAGAGATACTTGAGTTACGCCCCAAATGGTTTCCCGTTCTCTCTTCCTATCCAATTTCTGCTGGACCCAAAGTAATCAACGAGAAAATCAACCACTCATATCACAACATCACTTTCCATTTCTGAAACAGTTTTATTTTTATTCATAGCTATTAGAACTACAAATGCGAACTAGTATAGAGTATATAGTACATATAAGTTCTCATACATTTCTTCCCTATCCTCCGTCTACTATATAGCCATACTAAAGCTCTTCCTCTTCCTCATACTCATCTCTCCTCTCAGGTGTATACATTCCCTAAGCGAGCCCCGAGACATTAATAGCGTCTCGATGATGAGATCGATATACTGTATATCGAGGATAGTGTTAATTCTCCTTGTTCCAGGGGTTTTGTTGGCAGTAGCGCATGTGACAGGGGAACTGAAGTTGGTTTGCAGTGACCGTCCGGTTTGATGGAACTTGGGGAAAGAGTTACGAGGGTATGAGTGTGAGTGGCTTTCGGGTCGTCAGAGCTTCTAAATTGGTAGAGCAGTAGGTGGTAGATCAATGTGGCCAGTAATCCATCTGGTTCGATATATTCGCCTAATTTCATGTTTTCGTTTCCCCTAAGTCCTTGACTTACTCGCTTGTGATATAGTTGATATTAATCGATGACAACACAGAGCTGCACAATCACACGATGATATCGGATGACATGTACAACGCGGGGCTCGGAGCCGCGTGGGAAAGAATCAGTATGCCCAAGGAAGTTCGTCTACACGCAACCTCAACCCATTGACTCCGCCCTCCTGGTCTTCGCTCTCATCCTTTGAGTATCCTTCGCCTGTTTCCTTGCTTGACTGACACTCATCCTCACCTCCTCCATAACTTTCTTTTCCAGACCATCAGCCTCCACCTCATCTAGCACGAATTTCCCCAGATTACCCTGTCTCCACCTCTGAATCACCCAAAGTGCTGCAGCCTCTACATCCGGTACCCCGCCCTTCCCTAAGCGCCCCGTTTTCCTACAAACCGCCTCTAGAAACTGTACGATATCATTCGTTTCCTCGCAGTATTCTTTATACACGCCCCCTCCCACTTTTAAATTTATATGAAAGAGTAAATAATCCGCTAATGTCGTTGGCGCAATAATAGTATCCTTGACACTTCCCACCAACGCCAGCTTCAGCATACTATCCGTATCCGGGACGAAAGGTACAAACACACCGGGAGTATCTACTAAATAGACACCCTCTGTTCCTGCTTCCGGGTCCGGATCGACTATTTTGACACCTGATGCGATTTTTCTCGTAATACCGGGTTGGGCACCTGTGAATGCTGCTTTGCCTCTATTTACGCCAGCCATACGTAGAGCATTTAATAAAGAAGATTTCCCAACATTAGGCATACCCACTACAAGAATTCGAGAACCGGTTAGGGATTGATGCGCAAGACCATGTTCTTTGCAGAGCGAGAGAATAGTTTGGATATCGGATTTGGATTTGTGATTTGAGAAGAGAGTGGAGGAGGGCTTATGCCAATCTTTTATAATTGCTTCTCTCTATTATTCCCAGTAATTAGTTTCATAAATCTTCTGTCTGGGTACATGCAGGAAAATTCGTACCTTTTTATCCACAGCCAAACCCTGATACCCCAAATCCCGTTTCGTATACACGATGACTCTTTCTCTTCCCGCGAGTGATTGTTCAAATAACGGATTTCGAGATGTGAGAGGGACTCTGTAGTCTCGACATTCTATAATGAGGTCGATGGATGAGAGCATAGTTTTCATTCGCGAGAGACCGGATGCATGATGGCCTAGGTAGTACGATCGAGGGAGAGAGAGTTGTTGGGGGAACGCGGTACGGGGTATGAATTGTGCCATTTTGATGGCGGGGTATGGGATTTTACCGGAGGAGCATGGCAATTGCTGAGTTCAGGAGAGTGCTTGTGTTTAAATGTATTGAATATTGACATGCTGAAGTTTAAGATAAGGCTGAGAGGTTAAAATTTTGGATCTCTGATGTTACATAAGGCTGACGAATGAGAAGTAAGGATAAGTGACGCTAATGCACGGCAAGTCAACCACCCTTGTTGATATGATGAAATTCAAATTATCTGACAAGGCTGAAGATCATCAACTTTCGGGGGAGTAACCTTTAAGGACCTCAATCGACATGTATTATATTCTAAGCTTCATGTCTTCTAAAAATTGATACTGCGGTTCTCAATTGCTTGTCATCAGCCGCTGATTTCTCTCTCTAAAGCAAGAAATAGTTGAGATAGTTCTCTAGATTCATGCCATTAAGTGATGTCATGGTCTTGTAGTATTCATATGTTTCAATGATTACTTCTTGAATTCAAAAATTTGTTGGAATCTCACCAAGTAATGATCTACCAAATCATGGTCAAATTCGCGAAAGGATTGCTCTTATGTCGCTATGTTTCTTTCACCAATCGCGATTCCATCGTCGATGCAGTGTGTATTCTGGTTTTTCTGGTGCCATGGATGGATTTGTCATTCGTATGTTCTCTTCCTTAACATTGTTGATTTCGCCGCTGGTTCTCGAAGTGTCTTGGACTTAAGACACTATGTTTTTCCCTGGCTTCTTGTGTCTGTTTAATCATATTGGACATGCTCATTTGTCTCGTTGCACCATTGATTATGATCCTCGTTGGTCTACTTGTATTGGAAACTTCCAATGCGAGTAGAATGCGTTCTGGCTTGAGTATGGGCAGTGTTGCTATCGAATATCTGCATCAAAGTAATGTTGAAAACATGAAAACATTATTCTATTTTGATGGAAGAATTCACAGCCATCGTTCTTCCCAAATACAAACATTATGGTATTTATTCAAGATATCTTGATCAAATGATACCAATGTCGGTGTACAGTACATTTTCGGTCGGATTTAGACTCTCGCTATGGCATTCATCTTGGCGTTATGGATGGATAAGACCACGACGTTGTTTCAAGAGACTATTTTCTGGGTATCACCATGCGTATTTCCCTCAAGCCGATCCGTCTAATACCGCATACATGCAAATAATGATATCAGACGGGCTGTAAAAAATAAACTTTAGGACTTTTTCTAGTTCGAAGACACATACATTAAACGCGACAACATTATCGTCTTCACCGAACACGGATGGGAACAATCGTAATCTTGCTTACACTTTCGACTGTATTCTAGACCCGCTCTCGCCGCTTCATCACTCCAAGATTCGGAAGAACTTGGTTGGCTCTGATGGAAAATTAGGTCTCCGGATTACTGGGTATAGAATTGTGGCGACATCGGGTATGGGATTCAAAGTAGACCATCAACACAATAAGTGGGATGTTGACAAAGGAGTTAAGGAAGGGAGTACAGGAGAGAAGACGAGAGAAGCAACCAACAGTTATAGGAGCTGTTCTTGATGGCCCGAGTATAATTCAATCAATTAACTCTTCTTGAATGTGATAACTCTGTAGGTAGGACCTGCTAATTGTTAATTCCCAATGACTTTATAAATAATCGTCGAGTTCTTCTTTGATATAAAATAACACAATTCGACAGCATTCCCCCTTTTTATTTATTTCTCAACCTTCACTCCAACTTCAACTCCAACTTCACTCCAAATTCACTTCATTTCTTCCTCGCGAATCATCCATCACACAAGGTGCATGCTTCAGGATTAGTCACCCCCTACGTATTTACCCAAAGAAGTGAATTCTCCACTTATTTGACCCCACCATATGACGCCGGAGGGGTGAAGTTAGAAACCGAACTTCTGTCTCAACAACATAAAAAACCTTTCAACCTCTTTCTCACTCGGAAATCCATCATACCATTTTCATATTACTTCCTTTTACCAAATTTCAACCAAGATACCCCCAAAACAATCAAATATTATAATCATGCCTTCTTCATTAGATCAACTCAAAGCTTCTGGCACCGTAAGTGAACAATCTGTCTTTATTTATTGATGGCTGGTCGACGGGACACTCGGGTCCAGCCCGGAACTCTAGGGAGACTCTTGTAAAGGAGATGGAATTTGAGGATATATTTTTAGAATATAGTTTGCTAACCATTACTTTGTCATCATAGACTGTTGTCTCTGACTCTGGTAAGTTTCTGATCCATCATTGCAACTGCTTGAAGCTTTTACTGACTCCTATTTCTCTCCAGGTGACTTTGCTTGTACGTTATCATCTGAACATCTCTTCCTCGCCAATCCTACAATCAACTACTAACAGATACCATCAGCCATTGCCAAATACCAACCACAAGATGCCACCACCAACCCATCGTTGATCCTCGCTGCCTCCAAAAAGGCCGAATACGCCAAGCTCATCGATACCGCAGTCGCATACGGAAAGGGGGTCGACGGTGACCTCGAAAAGAAGACTGATGCCACTCTTGATCGTCTCCTCGTCGAGTTCGGTAAGGAAATCTTGAAGGTCGTTCCAGGAAAGGTTTCAACCGAGGTTGATGCTCGTTTCTCTTTCGACACCAAGGCCACCATCAACAAGGCCCTCAGAATTATCGACGTATGTTACATGCCTATTCATGTCATTCCTTGAGACGAATGTACCTCAATTATAATGAGTTTGATACTAACATATGTGTCTTATCTAGCTTTACAAGGAGCAAGGTATCGATAAGTCCCGCATCTTAATTAAGATTGCTTCCACCTGGGAAGGTATCCAAGCCGCCCGTGTCCTCCAACGCGACCACGGAATCAACTGCAACCTTACTCTTCTCTTCTCCAAATCCCAAGCTGTTGCTTGTGCCGAAGCTGGTGCTTTCCTCATCTCTCCCTTCGTCGGCCGTATCCTCGATTGGTACAAGGCCTCCACCGGAAAGACCTACTCCGCCCAAGAAGACCCAGGTGTTGAGTCCGTTAAGGCTATCTTCGACTACTACAAGAAGTACGGATACAAGACCATTGTTATGGGAGCTTCTTTCCGTAACATTGGTGAAATCACTGAGCTTGCTGGATGTGATTACCTCACCATCTCACCAAACTTGTTGGAGGAGTTGATGAACTCCGAAGAGGCCGTCCCTAAGAAGTTGGTCGCTGAGAACGCTAGCAGTTTGGATATCGAGAAATTGACCTACATTGATGATGAGGCCGAGTTCAGATTTGCATTCAACGAGGATGCTATGGCTGTTGAGAAGTTGAGAGAGGGTATCAGCAAGTTTGCTGCAGATGCCGTTACCTTGAAGGATATCTTGAAGGCTAAGTTGCAATAAATTGCTTTTGAGTCTCGGGGTTCGGTGGATAATTTTATAGTTATTGATTGTCACGGAGGTCAAAATTGAAAGACCGGATGAGGTACGATTTGTATTTACGCGTGGCCAGACATGAACTTAAACAAATGAAACGATTTGATGATTAATTAATTATTTTCAATGCTTGCCATGATGCGATATTGTGTTGGGAGCTAATGTCGGATTGAAATTGAGTCGTTCTGGAAGGTATGGGAGCATGCTTACCTGTTGTTGATTTTTGAAATGTGTACTTGGGTACATTGTCTGTTGTGAGTTGTGAGTGGTGTTCATAGCAAAATTGTATGGGGACATTGAAGATGTATGCCAATATTCCTTTCTTGGCATTAGACGATCGATTACTCAAACTATGAAAACCCATCCAGCGTCCACGTGTTCATGTATGTAGCAAACCGCTTTGGGATGGAGTTGCATGGAAGTGGGACGCATATAAAGTTTGATAGTAATTGAGATTGATCATGGTCAAATCGAATTATCAATATAATCATTTGAGTACATCCAGACGAGACATCTTCGTATTTGACATGCAGTTCGATGATGAGATTTGGGTGATGAAGATTAGTTTGTAATTTGTAATATCTTACAGTTCCGACGAGTGTTGAGGGTGATTGGATAAAATTTCAGTTCTGAAATAGGGGTATCGATACCCATCCTACGAGACCAACAACACTATTTAACCCAGCTATGGGAAGTATCAACGCCCTGGGGGATTTCAAGAAACGCGAAGAAAGGGAGATAGAAATAGAATGGGAGAGAAATAAATTGTACATTCATTTGGCGGCGAGAAATAATCCGGGGACGTTTCATTGGAGTTTGTACTTGACGGAGGAGAAACCGGAGAGGGGATGGGTGTATCATGTTTTTGACCCGGTGCCGGATAGGTGGATTTTGGAAATGCTGGGGGGAGATGAGGAGGGGGAGAAGGAGGAGGATAAGGGGAATAGAGATGGTGGTGGGAACGAAGATAGTAACGAGGGTTCTGAATCACCAGGCGAGGATTCCAGGGAAAATGGTGACCAGCAAATAGTTGGTCCTGAAGGGGAAAACAAAGAAGGACAAGAGGATGAGAAAGAAATTGGGAAGAAGTATGAAGAGAAGCGAAAGCGAGAGTCGGGAGATACAGGACATATCAGCGATGAGGAAAGTGATGAAAATGGGCAGTCGGACAGTGATAGGGGTATAAAGGAAAAAGAAGAGGATAGGAAACACAAGAGAAACAAGACAGACAATGAGGAGAATCAAGGAAAAGATGACGGTTCATATGATCTGGAAGATCCCCACCGCAGCAAGAACCACGACGCAGAAGACAACAACCACACATTCCTCACCTCATCCTCTCTCCTCGCCGCCATTGAAATCGGAACCGACATCCAAGATATGCGAGAGATAATCGAAGAAACGATATCCACCGAATGGAAGACGGGGAGAAAGAAGATCGCAAAAGGGGAGAAAATCTGTCGAGAGTTTTTGTTGAAATGTGTTGAGGAATTGGAATCGGTGGGAGTGTTGAGTTTTAAGGATGGGAAGGGGATTGGAGATGTAGAGAGAGAAGCCGAGGAGTTTGGGTTGTTGAGTGATCCAGCTTTGAATGCGGCGGCGAGGAGGGGGAGAGTGTGGAAGAGTAGGGTTGTGGAGTGAGGAGAGGGAGGGACTTGGGAGGGGTTGCACAAAGGGGTGGCGTATGTACTGAAACTTTCTTTCATAGAAAGATGTAATATCCAGTGGAATATTCCAGCTCTCGTGACCCGAGAAACGACAAGGAGGAGCAACTTCGTTGTTCATTGAATCAATAATCAAACACAAGGTCAGAGCAAACTTATGGACAATGTTGGGAAGCACGTGAATATTGTGATGTGGGCAGTATGCAGCCCTCGCTAATCATGGATATATCTGCTATTCTTGATTGGCTTATGGAAGGCATAAATCTAGTGCCTGGAGAACAGGCGTGGAGTCAGATCTTAATATACATATAAATGTTGAATCGTGCAGGTATAGCCTATTATACACCATATCCGATTTCCTCCTACTCACACCAATAATCCTGGATTCCAAGTAGCATGGACTAAATACCTACATTTAACAACGAGGTAAAAGCAGTGCAAACGATATCTAGTACACCTTCTTTGACTTCCAAATCACAGCACGCCTAGCGTCCGCGTTAAGCGCGGGATCACTAAGCAGCACCGGCTCTTTCACTTCTGCTACCAGCGGATCTATGCATCAAACAGCGTCAGAAGACCCATTGAATTGCAGAAAGCTTGGCCACCACACCCATATTCTCTTCAACTTTTCTGGTTCATCATGGAAGATTTGCTGACTTTTATTGCCACCTCTGGCGTGCCTCGTCACAATCGAGAGATTCTTTATTGCTTCATTAAAGATGCTTCTGAACCCGAGCGCGCATGCCAGTATATACATGAACAGTGCGGGAGTGAAGAGATGGTTAAGCTAGAGAGCATAGTATCTCTCTGGAAATAAGTTGTTACCAAAGGTGAGTCCTTTTCATAGAACTGTGATAGCATTTCAAAATCACATGTTAACTATTCTCAGTTCTCCAACCTACACTATCTTCTGATCGTATCGCATCTGAATTGTTTACGAGAGAAGACTATGAATGTCGTATCACACAACAGCCTTCACGGTATCTGGGCGAGAAGTTGGAGGCTGGAGTATTGTCTCGCCAGTACTGTTCGACGGGGTTCTTGATTCGAACAAGGTTTGAAGAGTACCCATCGTAGGATTGCTCTTATCGTTCTCATTTTATTCTGATTTTAGAACGCCATGCTTCTTGCATTTCTGAGGCCAGAGATTTTAGAAAGTCTCCAAGAACTACTCAAGAGAATATACAATAACCAAACCAAAGATGAAGAATATCCCGAGCTTCAGAATATGTTCTTGGCGACTAGCAGCACGAAGGAGGCTTTCCACAAGGCGCATTATGCATCTTTCCCATACCTGAAACTTTGCTGGAAAGCAAAGGATCTTCAAGTGGATCCAAAAGTTCCTAATTCCATTGATGTGAATATACTAACTACAGCCTTTTATGTTTTTCCCGCGATATCCCCATACTGATGATACTCACACCCAAGTATGGAATTCTACCCCGACAACGTGAGACCGCGTGTCGAGACAAGATAACTAGTCATTACATCGCATTCGCGACCCCATCTACCAGTCTTCCTTTACCCCATCCATTGTTACTAGGTATACATTCACAACTTTCTAAATCACGTTCCTGGATGGACTTGGCCGAACAAAGGGCTCACGCCCGCTCGAATCGAAATATCGTCTATAATCGCATATGCCAATGGACCTCTTCAGCTTTCACTCACATGTTTAAGCTATTTCTTTATCTTGTCTCTGGGCGTTTTAGAATCTACTGCTATCGAACAATCAGTCATCTTTCTTCAAATTTATACGCACCGTAAGGGATAGTCCAGCATATTCCCGGCGGGATTATCGTCAAACGAGGTCCCCGAGTGTCATCCAACGAGATCTCCGCCCTCCAACTCATCGCAAATAATCCCTTCGTCCTCCCCCAACCTCTGGATTTCGTAACAGATTCCAAAGACGGCCATTAATATCTCATCATGAGCCATAATACCGGCCAATCCTGTCGATCTGTCTGTGATCTCATGACCGATTCGGACCTCTCAAATTTCACTCACGACCTCCGCATCGTTCTTACCGAGATGCGGAAAATACATAGTTTTTATGGTGTCCAAGCCGAAGCCATAATTTGTGGCGCCAATGGCAACACCCCCTGTCACGACTTCCGACTCTGAGATCCCTGTGGTCCCTTTCCTTCCCTCGATTCTTTCCATTAGGATCTCCGCTCTAACGCCTTCGTGCCTTCTCCCCCCTCTTCCTCCAACCCCACCACCAGCCTCAACGCCCCCACCCAAGTGCCCAAAAGTATCTCCTTGCCCACGCTACCCCACGCCCATCTTCTTCACCCACAGCAATCCCAACCCCAACAATATCCTCATCAACCCACCCTCCTTCCGCACCAGCGCACTCGTAGATAAGGAATGCGCGGGCTTCTACCCCGATGATTGGGAGAAGATCCAATCACTGTACAGTAAGCCCGGCAATGTTTTCTGGAAGTCGCTTTTGCAGCGAGTGATATTTGAATTTGAGGATAAGATGAAGATAGAGATGTAGCTTTGGGATCCATCGCTCGGATCTATTTTGAGATGGGGCGTGGTGGAGATATGGATATGGATATGGATATGGATATGAAGAAGAAAGAAAGAGGGGGGAGAGAAACAAAATTATTAACCTAAGCGACTTTGAAGGTGAAAAATCGATACATAAGTAGGTATGCTCACGATATCCGTTCTAAGGATATATTTCGACAACCGATTCAGTATTTACGCTGTACAACAAATCTGATAATATCATACAGAAATGTAAACTCTATCATTCGTCAACCCATCAAGGTCTATACAATAAGGTTACACAATATTCCCCCCTGAAGAAAAATACCAAATCCCTTATTGATAATCCCACTCGAACGATGTATCATTATCAGGACTTTTTGACGCCGAGAGAGAGAAGCGGAATGTTATCTCTCCTTGGTGAGCCAAAAAAAAAAAGGGTTCTGAAAGAGGGAGAGAGAAAAAACGTATACAGTAGCGCACGCTCTTACCCTATATTTCTATCAGATCACATCACATCCCATTACATACACAAGACACAAGACAAAAGACACAAATCAATCTCCCAGATTCGCGAGTAAAAGAATTTGTTTAATCTAGTCCAGTCTCGTCTCGTCTCGTCTAGTCCAATCCAGTCCAATCCAGTCCAACCGATATAGTTAGATAGCAAGACCAAGACCAAGACCAAGACCAAGACCAAGACCAAGACCAAGACCAACTTGGAAGACCAAGATCAAGATCAAGACCCAGAAATACGTAGGTAGGTAGAAGGGTATCAACTTCTCCCATGCCAGTCAATCAACCAATCAACCACTCACTCCTTTCCTCTCCCCATGCAGCCAACCAATCCATCCCCATCCATCCACCAAAAAGACTTTTATAAATCCCATGCAAATGATCCATCCATCCATCCATTCATCCATCCAGCGTAAGTCATAATGCAATGCCATAAAAAAGAGAACGGATGTACCATCATGCTATGCTATGCTATGAAATGCCATGCCATGCCATACCATGCAAGAAACAAGCTCGCAATACATTCTCAAGAATTATCAAAAGCAGCAATAAAATGAGCCAAGGAACAGTAAGAGAAATTCATGATGTTTAGTAGTTGATTATTGGCCAGCCTTCATCTTCCATCCACCAATTTAATCTTCATAAGCATCACCATACTCCCACATACCCTGGCGATTTTGTCTAGCCTCAGTTTGACTTTGAGTCAAACTCTTAATAACATCCGCAAATCCCTTCTCCCAACCCTTCAACTTGGTTGGAACCATGCTAAGACCCATAGCTACGATATCATTATTGATGCTATCGTTCAAGTTTTGACTCTTAGCATCAAACAATGTGACATACAAAGTTCCATCTGGAGCTGTATAATCGACATTTGCGACGAGTTCCCTGTCGGCGGTGTTGTGAGTAATATATCTAATTGCCTCATTCATATAATCCTTGTCTGTAGGAAATTGAAGAAGAGTTAAGATAGCATCAACGGCTTGTGGGCGAAGTTTTTGCGTTGAAAATTGTGGTTGTGAAAGTGGTCGGAGACGAGACCAAGGAATCTTCTCGCTGTTGCCATAATCGATATAAACAATTTCTGCTTCCTTAGCAGTACGATCATTGGAGCGTATGCGACCACGATACCATTGACCATCCTCGGAAAATTTGGCCGCAACGTAATCGCCAGCCTTTGGTGGACCGGGGAGACCAGTTGAGTTGGATGGGTTCAAGTGGAAAGACTTGAATTGAGTCATCATAGTCTCAAGAGCCGAAGTACCAGTACCAATGATCTGGAGTTTCAACTTTCCATCCTCATTAATCTGGGTGACAATAACATCTCTGTAATCCTTTTCTCTCTTGATCTGAGTGACTTCATCATCATTGGCAGGCTGGTATTCCTCTTCTTCCACATCTAAAGATGGATCCCAATCTGCCCAAAGACCTTTTCGAGCATCCTTTGCGCGCTTTTCGGCTGCTAATAATTCCTTCGAATTTCCGGATTGTTCGGCAGAGTGTTGATGAACAGTTGCATAACCTTCCTCAACCAAGATTTTACCAAAGCTCTCCTTGTTGATGTAAAGTTCACCAATGAAGCCACCAACCTTATCGGTATTATATACATCGATTTCAACATCACGTTGTGATAATCTTCGTGTAGCTAAATCGTGTGCTTCCTTGCCAAATGGTTCGCTCTTATCGCTTGGGTTTCTAGCAGATTTGGGAGCTCGAATACCAGCGAGAACAAAGTTGAGTTTAATGCCTTCACGAGGCACGAGTACAACAAATCGGCCGCCTCCTTTGACAAAGTCAACAATGGCCGGGATTCTCTTTTGTCGTTGCAATGATCCAACATGTAGCTTAGCCTTTTGGACAGTCTCAGATGCATCGGCATATTGCTTTGCCTTTGCGGCCTTTCCAGACCACATTCCTTTCTTTTCTTCCTTGGCTTTCTCTTGTGCAGCCAATAAATCATCGTAGTTAGGAGCGCGATCGGTGTCATCTCTTCGATGACGGATTACGGAAGCCCAACCTTCTTGAACCAATTGCAATCCAATATTCTTATCATTCAAAGTAACGGTGGCAACTTCCTTTGCATCATAATCTTCAGTGCCTGGTCTTGATCCATCGATGCTAATTCGGACATGTTTTCCGATCAGGCGTTTTCGAAGGAATTCCTTAGCTTCGTCTCTGAAAGGTGCTTCAGATGACTCAGTAGGTCTAGGTCCACGAATACTACTAATGTTTATGCGCTTCTCAACACCTGCCTTGTTCTGGACAAAAATTTGATCGGCGCTGAAAATTTTGGTAACAGTTGCTTCAAGACTTCCACCTGCACCGTTGTTCTTTACAACATGGTCCTTGAACAGACCGAGTTTAGCATGTTGTGCACGCTTTTCAGCCTCACGTAATGTTGCCATGTCTGAGCCAAGGAGTGTTGAATGGAAATCGGTGCATCGTGCAAGTCCAGCTTCGAGGATGAATTTGGCAATAGTTCCCTTGGGATGGATAACTGAAGCAATGAGTTGATTTTGTGGGCTAAGTCCAAGAATATGGATTTTAACATTTCTTTGCAATAATCTTTCCTCGACGAAACGTCGTGCTTCGTTTCCAAATGGTTCCGCAGGAGCTGTTTGTCCATTCGATGGGTTGACTCGCTCAGTAGCTGGTGCGCGAATACCAGCGACCAAAGTCATAACTAATTATTGTCAGTTGATTGTTTCACACACATGAATTTGCTTAACCGACCTTGAATGTGCTGTGTAGGAGTAACAATCAAACGCACAAGCATTCGATCACCACTCAATATACGTTCGACCAAACCATCCACTGTTTTTCCCTTCCATGTATCTAAGAAAGACTCTGGGTTGCCCATGTCATGCTGGACCTCGATACGTCCGCCATTTTCTTGCCATAGACCCTTGTCTTCACTGCGTGCGGTAGCTTCGTATAAACGTAAGGCGTCGAGTTGTTGAAGGGCCGATTCCGAATCTTCCTTTCGGCCAGCATCTTCTCTCAATTTAAGCCAACCTTCCTTTATCATTTCTTCGGGTAGTTTGGTTCCATCATTGAGAAAAACAAGTCCATATTCGCGCTTAGTATTTGGAATTTGGTACAAGACTTGGAATTGTACAACCTTGCCCACTACTAATTTTCGTAGGGCATCGCGAGACTGAAATGCAAATGGTTCGTCGCCTTCCTTTCGCAGATGTGGTGAAGTGCAATAAGCTAAGGACAAAATGCGCTCGAGATCCGGGTTCTCAACTGAGGTAAGTACAAGACTGTCGCCGCTCAAGACGGATTTAACTTTTGCTTGATTGAGAACCATTTTGCTGTAATCGGATGGAGGTACGTTGGCAAGTCGTTTCTTTCCGAGTGGTGGAATGCGGGGACTAGGAAAAGGTTCAGGGAGGTTAGCAGATTCCTGAGAAGCTTTTGATACCGATGAGCTGCTAGAAGATTTGCGGTCATTAGAAATGCCTGCCGCAGAGCCAATCTTGAATGTTTTGACACCCATTTTGATTATAATGAAAGATTCAACAATGGTGGAGGTATAGGTATAAGTATAGGTATAGGTATAGGTATAGGTATGCGTGTAGTGGGAGTTGTAATTCGTGTTGTAAATTTATTGAATTCGAGTAAAAGAGAGTTGTTTGTCTCTGCGATTTGAGTTGCAGATACTGGGTAGAGTTGTTTGTCTCTGCGATTTGAGTTGCAGATACTGGGTAGGTTTAAGTAGTCTAGGCGTCGCGGTATGATATTGAATCTCGTCAAAGCAATACCGTAGAATGTTTTCGTTTATATGTGTTGGAGATACAATCTGCTGGATGCCGTATGAAAATGTGGTTTGCATGAAAGTGAATCTCGAAGCAGGATGTGCGAAATCGAAATTGAAAATTAGACTTTCCAGATCTGGGTTATGATATTTTTTCAAAGGTGAAGCTCCTTCTCCGGTTTGTGGTTGAGGGTCGAATGAATTGATCATGGTGAAAATCGACAAATTGAAGCTACTTTTGGGAGAGTAGTGACTAGTCATCAATTTCCCCCTTCTCGTGAATTCACTTCTCTCATCCCATGAATTTCCAGCTACTTCCAGTTTCTGATTCTCAATTCGTTCATCCATACCTAGCTGGCGGTCGGTAGCCTTCTCAACACCTCCATTTAAGTGGCGTAGAATGCGGATTGCGGCAGGCAGTTCTTGTATACATATGCGGTGAGGGTGAGGGTGAGGGTGAGGATGAGGGGAAGGAGGAAAAGGGAATATTGTACAACTTACATATGGAATCAAGTAAGATGCAACAGATAGTAAAAAGATGCAGAATACAAATTGAGATTCAACGAGCAAGAGAATCGAATATATCAGGTATTCCAATTCTCTTTAAATAGTCAATTAGATGGTAAAATGATAAAGATGGAAAGAGGTCAAGTGTTCTCTTGGAGCTTCATCATCCATTTAGATGAGGCTACATTTTATATAATTCCATTACTGTAAGGTCCCATTGAACCCTTGATGTGGGGTAAGGATGTGGAAGAGATCATTGGTGCATGAAGCGAAGATGTATTTCCATGGAGCTGTAATCCATGTTGTCCGGAGATCATGTTCGAAATGTGTATGGTTAGTAGTTACCCTTCAGCCAGCTGAGAGGTATCAGTACTCAACACTCGAATCAAGCTTACAACACAATCATTGACTTCGGAGCTGAGATGAACATAGCTTTTTTCTATTCGCTTCAATAATTCATAAATCATAAGTTGACCAAAATCAGTGGAGTAAAACGACTGCTTTTCTGTTGAAACTAGACACAGCAGGCAAACTAAGCTAAACTATTCATACCCCTTTTCCATGTTCATCAGATCATATCATTTCGTTTCATACCATTTTGTGTGCTACACCATTTATGCAGCAATACCAATGACACCTATGGGAATATTAGTAATGTGTTCAATACCTGCATCTTTAGTGAATGAATGACATACCACAAGCTGGTCTGGTTCCGGCGTTACCAGTCTTCTTGGACTCTTCGTTCTCTCCCTTACCGAGATCATCGGTTCCGGAGTGGACAACAACGGTACGCTGAGAGGGCTGTTAGTAATCACATATCAATGATGCGAGAGAGTACATACGCCAATGACGCTCAATGGACCAATCAACTTAATGTGACTGTCTTGAACGGAACCAGTAGCATTTCCTTGGGCATCAGTCTTGAAGTTTCCAAGATCACCTACATGGCGAACCTCGTCGGTGGGAGCACCGTGGGTCTGACCGTGGGGGTTGACTAAAATATCGAGTCAGCCTTATGTTCCGTTGTATGTGTATTCCATCCAGAGCTTGAAAAGCGTAGAAATGAGGACCGGCAGATGTGCAGCCGTTGGTGTTGTCACCGAATTGATGAACGTGCATGCCACGCTCAGCATTGGCATCGTTTCCGGTGATGTTCCATGTGATGGTAGTTGGAGAGTTCTCTTCGGATTGCTCAAAGGTAACGGTACCGGAGATCTTGGAGTCACCTCGGACGGTAGCAACTGAAAGAGAAAGAACCAGGGTTAGTATATATTTCATACCATACTTGGAACCGTGAAACAATGAAAGATAAAAAGGGAATGCAAGATATGAGGATAATGTAGATGAGATGCTTGATTGGAGATAGTTTACCCATCCGGGTATCCCATTGACAGAGGAAATGTGCTCAAAAGCTCTCTAGCTGACCCCGCCATTGGTTACAGCATTAGATATGTGGGGTAGGGGCGGCAGAAGTCGATATTGGAGATATAAAACTTACCTGCTTTAACCATTTTGATGGATTATGTTATGGAATCTGTTGATCTGGGAGTTTTTGAGGTTTTCAATGAGGATTTGGAAGTTGTGGTCGATGGCAAGAAACAGTAGAAATAGGAAAGAAAGAGGGGTGGGAACTCGTTGGAAGCTTTGAGCATTCCATACCGAAAGTGGGGTTTGGTAAATGGCAATTCATCTGCACGATTATCAATTCAATCATCTTTATTTCCGAACACCGGTGACCGGTCGTTGGCTGTGAGATTACATAATCGTTCGTCGTTGTCAGACACTGACGTCGATGGAGAGCTAATAACTTCACAGTACCAGCGGAGTAGTTAATATCATGTAAATGCTCAGAATTGAGTTTAATATCGAAGCTGTATGTTTGACATTTATCGACAAATGGTATGCCGATATTCAAAACTCTATGGCTGGCACAACGAGCCTTGAATAAATATCTCAATCTAATGCTCTGGTACTCCTTCTCAAAGCGTCCCGCTCTTTGAAGTCTTCTCCGTCGTCGCCCCGTCACTAATTCTCTCCGAGATGCCCATAGAATCAAAAATGCCCGTATTTGCTTATATCGAGAATCAGAGGACAGAACTCTTCCGGCAATGGTCTTCCTTGCTGGGTTTCTACCAGGCACCGGTATTGTAATCGTCAACAGCTTCGATACCGCAGCACATATGAGTGAAGAATTCCCGTAGCCTCATAAGCGTATACCGCCAAACCATACTATGTACAGCAAAGATATGTGCTGATGCCGGTTTCACTGTGATTTTCATGCTCTTCGTCTGTACGGAGAAGCCTGAGGATATCCTTGCCCGCATTCAGCCACCGTTTCAAATGTTTTCCCATTCATACGACTCCATGCCACTGGCAGTCATCAGTATGATAATATGGTAGCCACGATAGTTGGTCTTCTTTATTGCCACGGCAGGTCAAAGTGGTGAGTACATATTGACTTGATGTACAGAACGCAGTGCCTCCTTACCCCTGAATTTCAAGCGCCAGTGCTTTTGCTGTAAGGTTCGCAATTTTCGTGATCGATTGGATTATTTTTGCCAAGACACATAACACAGTAGTGTTCCTCATACTGCCTTTGTCAATGAAGGTCCCGCAATCATACAAAAGTCAACGCTGTCAGTCTATAGGAGGATATCAAATAGGGGTCTCGGGAAAGTAAAACGACTGAAAGGTTTTCTGAACATCATTCCGCCCAAACCTCCACATGGGCTAAGTACGAAGAAAGAGCCGTTTGGAAAAGATTCTTATCAAAAGAATTGCTTGGCGAACTTGGCTACCAGAGCACACAGATATCTTGCAATCTGACCATGCGCTGGCTAATTGTGAATCAGTGGTGACACGTGTAGGGATAATTTATAGACATGGCTGTGATATTAAACTGATGAATGGCGAGATGTAGAAGAAATTGGAATGCCAACAAATGTGAGGATAGAATGAAGCAAGCGGTCTTTGTTAACACTGATAAAACATGAGATTCAATGTCTTCTCTGTGCTCTGAAGTCTGCAGTCTGAAATTTGACATCTGAAATCTGAACTCATACTCAAGTTTGATGTTACCAACTTCTCTTTCATCACATGGGATCCACGTGGAATGTTGCTTTAAGGAGTTCGGGATGGAGAACTACTGGAGACCCTTTACCCTTCTAAAACCTCTTCTGGTACAAGATTGACGATCGATATTCAATATCATTGATCCTCTCGATCCTGTACTTCATCTAACCTAAGGGCTTCGGATTGGGGACCCGATCACAGCTTTAAGAATAACCTTACTTGAGACGATTGACATGATTGACGTGATTGACATGATTGACAGAAGTAGGTGGTATGCTATGACAGAAAATCCAACATCAGATCCTAGATTCTAGCTTGCTTACCTTTGATACATCATGTATCTGCATTCTGTGCCGCCGTCTTGCATTTTTGAATGATGTTAGCCACACACACACACACACACACACATACACACAGCCCTACCATGAGGCTTATCCCATTCTTTTCCATTCTTTTTCCTGTGCCATCCATCATTGATGTAATACATCCCTAGATGGTAATGTGTGAGCGGGGCGAAGTCTTTTGGAGTGATAACAGCAATGGAATGATGATGAATGAATGAATGAATGAATAGCAAAGACATTGGTTGACAATGACATTCCTCTTTGAATGGTAAAAGGGTTGAGATATATGAAAGCATGAAAGTATGAAAGTATGAAGATACCTCGTATGTACATATGAATGAAAGAATGAACGAGCAAATGAATACCAAGCTAATAACGTGGAAGCTTATTGATGGGTTGATTGATTGAATTGCTTGACGCGTGCAAACTACCAGGTACTTTTACCCCCATTGATCAATAATTGAGAAAGGTCTAGATATAGAATTTAATCTTACAATGATTTAGATCTTGTCATTATAATTACATCTGGGCATAAATAACCTTTTGCAAAGTGGTGGTCCATCAAACCAATCAACATTCAAGAGCTTGCGACGACACTCAGCTGCTCCAGAACGTCTTATACAGACAGTACAATGGAATAATAACTATTACCGACCTACTCTACCTAGGAAGTATACAAAGATAAAGACCAAAATCAGAATCAGAATCAGAATCAAAATTAAAATCAAACCCAGAATCAAAAGCATATACGACTTCACACACAACAAACACATAGAACTACCTCCCTCCCTTTGAATAAGACAAAAGATACAAGGCTATACCATCTTCTACTGGACTCATTTATTCCTTATTACTCAGTCATTCGCTTTTATTTAAATAACTCCTACAAATATCTTAATCTTCTTGGAAAACTTTGCTTATTATCACAACATTCCCTTCCCCCGCAGAAAAATCCAAAGGTCTAAAGGATCAATTGTTAGTCCCCGGTCAAGATTGGATTGCTCTGATACGGAGACTCCGAATACCCGTATCGAAATCTCCCACATTGTCGCAAAACCTGGGCAAGCAAGCATTTTTATTACACGACACCGCGCATAAGCTCAGCATTGAGACGACGACCTTTCTTGATTCTCTGAGAAAATTCGACGCTCTCTGACGCTCCATTAAAATCGCCCGATTAGCTATCTTCCCCCTAAGCACAATCTCCCAACGACCAGCAAATGGGAATCATCTCGACTGTCTAATCGCGCGGAGCAAGCCAGATGCTCAGAAACTAAGATACAATCATAATAAGCTGGCTGGTCGATTCGCAGATTCCCAGATTTCTTACTGTACATACGAATTCATTAGGAACTTGAGCTCTTGCGCAGATTCGTGTTATCGCAACCATGTCCTTCCACGCAAATGGTGGGCGACGCTACGGACATGTACCTCCAGCACAATACGGTGCACCAACAGGTCAACCCTCGAATAACTCGAGTCAAGGCTTGCATAGGCAGTCTAGTTTTGACAATGGAGATGATGCTGCATTTTTTGACCCGGGTAATAGCGGATACCAACCTGCCCCGCCATCATCGGCGAGGGCTTCAATGCCATCAGAAGAATTATACATATCAAATAACTCAATGAGCCCGCAATCGCCTGGCAGATCGTCATTTGGAACACCTGGTAGTCCCGCTTTGTCGGGATATCAACATCAATACCAACCTCTGAATGGATCTCAATCCCCCTCACTTCCCCAACAGCCTGCATACAACCCCCAGAACTTTGCCAGGTCTCAGTCGCACTCGCAGCCTTCACAATATCGTCCTCAACCCTCATATAGCCCGAGTATTTCCAGTCAACACCAATATTCGAATTCTACATCTTCCAATCATCAGGCGTATAATCCTGCAGCTTATCAGCCATCGCAATATCCCACACGCGCTTCGTCTACTGCCTCTGCGTACAATAATTACAACAATTCCTATGCGCAAACTCCCACCTCTACATCGGCATCCTATTGGTCATACAATTCTTCTTCTTCTTCGCCTCCAGCTCGCGCAAGTGCTATATATGAAAGTTACATGGATTCGCCACCTTTGAGAAGTCCAAGCTATGCTCCTCACTCGGCTACTTTACCCCCAAGACAGGCTTCATATAATCCACCGCCTTCTACAACTCCATATCCAACTAACGGGGACAATTTTGCTGAAGACGACTATGATTACAGGAGAACTACACAAATGCCCACATACCCGAATTTCCCCGGCGGTGTTCTTCGAGAGAATTCAACTGACTCCATATCTCAAGAAATCCCTCCTATTCCTCCGCCCAAACGTTCTTCGACAAATTCTTCAAATGCCCCCGTGATACCTATGCCTGCCTCTCCTGGAACCACACTACAGAGACACCCAACGCAAAGACCCTTACCTAGTGCGCCAATGGAACAAGGTGCCGGAGATGAAGATGATTGGGGTCTAGGAATACAAGGTAAGACAGATGAAGAACTTACCCAAGAACAAATCTTTGCGGATATTGGAGATGCCCTTGGAACTTCCCACCGGAATGGAGACCTTCTGGATGGTGAATTACATCGATATGACTCAAGAGCAACTACTGTTCATTCTGGTGCTGGTGTTGACCGTTTTCCTTCTACAGCTTCTACATTACATACCGAGGGAACTTCTTACGATAATTACGAAGATGATGAAAGCGATTTGGAAGCAGCTGCTGGCCTCGAAGCTATGCGCATTGCCGAAGAACAAGAATCCCATGGACTAGGTTCGGGGGGCTTGAGTTTTGGTGGACCATACGAAGGACAACCATCATATTACGAGGGGCAACCATCACATCAAACTCAGCTACCTCAAGGGGAAAGTAGTGATAGTGATTACAAAGGTATGGATTTAGGCCTCGCTGGCGGTGGCTACGACGCACATATGTCTTATGGAGATGATTTTGCTGGTATGAGTACAGAACATAGCAGTGAGATGGAAGATCAAAGTCGACCACTACCGACACCGCACCAACTTAGTCGTTCTGACAGTCGCGCTCAAAGAGGTGGTTTGGGAGGGATGGCTGACTACTCCATGCCCGGCGAGGGTGAACTTCAT